AACATTGTAGTGCTGGCATGATATCAAATCAAAAACAAAGTCTAAACATGCCAGATTAAGAACTCACCAAGGTGGAACTGGTGGCGGTCCCGCTACACCAGAAATATTATCTAATTGGGAAGAGAATATAATAGATATAATGTGCCCAACTGCTAGTACAGGGCACCCAGGAACTTTAGAGTCATCCATTGTTTTTGTAAGTATTTTATACAAATCACTAGTAAGAAGGTGATTAAGAGGATTATTATTTTTAATATTATTTATTATTGTTGTTAAGATAGAAAATACATGTTTCTTAAATTGTGATTTTTTATTTTCATGTAGGATCTTCCTCTTTTACAACATAATACTCCTGAGATATTAGAAAACAGTAATGCTCAAATGCAGGAAGTTTCTCAATATGAACTAGAAATTGAAACGAATATAACTAATCCTGTACAGATAGAGAATAGAACACTAAACAATATAAAAGGTAATATTGTAGAAAATACACTCTTAAGCTATTATTTATTTCAACAGTAATATTGAGCAATTAAAAGGCAACTAAAATTCGTCAATTTTAGTATCTTCTTGATTTAGATTAGTTTATAAATTTGTATAATTTTTTTTTAGAAAAAAAAGTTACTCGGAAACAGCAACTTTCTCAATCAGTGGAAGCCACGAAAAATTTAACAGTCACGTCCAAAGAAAGAAACGAAATATTTAAAGAGTATTCACAAGAAAAATTAAATATTTTAAAGGAGACCAATAATTTAAGAAGAAGGAAATTGGAGGCTTTAGAAGAGCAAACTTCTTTAAAGAAAAAAAAAACTGGAGGCAACAAAAGAGCAGAACAAAATACTGCAAAATATAGCAACTTTGCTAAAAAATATTCTCGAAAAATAATAATGCATATATTAATAGTTGTGTGTTAAATTTTTGTTTATTTTTTAGTTTTAAAATTATTTTGCTTTTTATTTATTAGGTTTAATTTAGTTATGTTGTTGTTAGTTGTTCCTGTAATTACATTAAAAGCAAAATACAATACATAGTAATATTAATTTATTTAAACAAAGTAGTTTTCAATTATTTTAATTATTCATACGCCTTCCAATTTTAATCTCTAAAATGTCCATTTATCACCAATGTTTGTTTCCTTCTTCCTGCTTCCAGATCTGGATTAATTCTTCTTTGGTTTCTAATACGTTGTCCTGGCTGTTCGTCAATAAAATTGTCGATACCAAAATCCACATTTTCCAGTTCCTCATCTAAATCTGGTTCTGGAATATTATGATTTATACACATATTGTGTAACACCACACATGCATTTATTATAAGTGATGCTTTGTCCGGGGTATAGTGCAATACCCTGTGCTTCAGTAAACATCTAAATCTCATTTTGAGTACACCATTACATCTTTCAATGATGCTTCTCGTTGATTTGTGGCAAGCATTATACCTGTATTCATTTGTGTTGGGAGGAGGTTCAACCTCTGTAGGGGTTAGAAGCCAAGCCCTGAGGTAATATCCTGAATCTCCTAAAAATAAATATAAAATTAATTAGATTATGAAGACATATCTAGAATTACCTAGAATTTTGAATTCTTCCTCATTCATGACGAAAACGAAAGACGAAAGAATGGAAGATGGCTGAAGAACATTCATGTCAAATATCACTTTGACCTACAGTGATTAAGAACTTAAATCTAAAAAGACTATTCAGTAGCTAATTATTATTATCATCCTGATTTACTGATCAAAATCTTTTTGATTGTAGTATAGAAATAGTAATCGGCTAAAAATGTTTCTAAAGTAGGCCATGACCGACAAAGACAGAGATACGAGTCATGACCGTGATAACTACGCATGGTTCTGAATTAAGACCAAGCGTGAATTTCTCCAAGATCTACTTTAGAAACATGTTCTGTGGTTCACTCCATACTGTACCTAATAAATGGTAATCATTATACCCCATTTGATGTAACCTTTCCATAGCTACCTTAATGTTGGAATTACTTAAAATATGATTATCATGTGTGCTTCCTGGATATCTTGAGTTGACGCTCAAAATTCTCAATTTGGAATCACATACCTAAAATTAACATTGTAATGCATTTGAAGACGATTTTTTAAAATAAGTAAATTACCAATTGAACATTAATTGAATGATAACGTTTTATGTTAATATACATGTGTTCAGGATAAACGGGATCATTTGTTTTTGGTGGAACTATTGCCACATGTGTGCAGTCTCTATGGCTCCAATAACACCAGGAAACCCATACATATTGAAAAAACTAGAATATAAAAATCAAGTCAAATCTGAAAATTTAAAATACGCTAATTTTAACTTACCCATTACGAAGGTTTACCAAGTTCTCCTCATTTACTGAAAATTTAACCCAATGGTTAAAAATTTCTGGCCTATTTAGGATATTTGCTACTTCCTCTACAGCCCTGCTAACCGAAGATTGGCTAATGGATAAAAAAATATTTGAGCCAACATCTAATTGATAGCTTCCCGAGGCAAAGAATTTTAGTGAGCAAAGAACCTAAAAAATACTTTTAATTTTTAAGTATAAATGTTGACTATATTCAATACAATAAACAAGAATACAAATTAACTTAATACTTAAACCACCAAATTACATTTGGATTGGTATATTTCTGTTTCCAGTTTATTGTTATTAATAGATAAAATTATAGGAAAATAAAAATGAAAATAGTTGTATTTATAATTATTATGGGTTTAATTACTAACCTTTAGTTGTGGACTCAGAGCTGAATTTCTTCGTGGTTGCACCATGTAGGGAGTCACTAATATAATTATATTTTCAACTAACTCCTTAGTTAGTCGAAATATTCTTCTAAACTGCCTATCTGGTAAAAGAAATGGATCCTGTCGCCTGTTGTAATTGAGAGGTGGCAGTTCTGCATCTAATTGTGCCTCTTCAATATTATGTATTCCCTGAATAAGGGCAATTTCCTCTATATCGTCCATTTTATAAGAAGTTTCCAATAGTAAATACAATAACTAAATAAAATTAACACTAACGACTTATAAACAGCAAAACCGTGAAATAATTATGTAATAATAATAATCATTAATAATAATAACAACAATAATAAGATAATTATAAAAAACAAATTAAAATATAAACTAGGAAAATATAAACAATGATCTCTTATATTACTAAGTGACAGTGACAAGTAATATGCATGGATACCCATGGTTACCGCATGCGAGATAGGGTTATCGCATGGTCAAGACCGCTCGTTGCAAATTGTTCGCCAAGCACCGCATGCGGGGATAACTCGCATACGCCTAGGCTTTCAAGAATACCATTTATCTACTCGCATACGTCACCGCATGCGAGACAAATACGAACGCCGTCAGGAATTAGGCCCCTCTGTTGAAAATAGACAGCATAATAAAAACATTCGCTTCGATCGTTGGACCATGGGCCCAATTCTCGAAACATGCGTTAACTGCCGCATGCGCTAAGTAACGCATGGTCGTTAACGCATACGACAGCAATTTAGTATTCCTGAACACCATGCGATAATCGCGAATCAAGTCGAACGTGTTAACGAAGAGTCTTTGATTATTGCATAGTTTTAACCAATGAGGATTGAGAATACCAAAGATGGTATCACTGAATATGAGATAATTGCATTGACACATGTCAAAATTGCCAAAAATTATAAAATTAAATGGATTGGATGTCTAATAATTTTTGGACGTTTTAACTGTGATTATTTGTATTTTGGACTTGAGAATTGGAGTGGTTTGGATTTAGAATATTAAAAATGGAACAGCGTGGTTCACGAATAACGGAAAAATTGCGTGAAACTTTAGTAGAATTTATAACATTGTTTAGTGCCTGTAAAACTCATATTTCTTCTATATCATCCATACTAAATAAAATAAACCAAAATAAAGTGGCACCTAAACGTCCAATAAAAGAGTTCACGGTACAAAAAGTTTCATTTTTATATTCTAATAAAATGTTCAATAGTCAAATTAAAAATAAATATTTCCCAATAATAAATCACAAAACAAAACCAATAGATAGAAACACGAATCACATATGATAAAGCAGGATTAATTGACAATTATAACCTTACTTTCACCTAAACGAATGCGACAAAGTAGTTGTCGAACGGTCATGAGCGCTCTTTGAAAATCATCATTTCTTAGCGCATACGTTAATAAATTTGACGAATGCCGCCAGTTCAGGAATACACTTTCATCAAGTCGCATACGTTATCGCATGCGATAAGTTAACGAAGGCGTCAGGAATTGGGCCCCATGTTCCGGTCAAGGTGAAAGAGCGCGTAATTCAATTTGTCTTATGTTTTAATTGTTAATTTTATTTAGAGTTATATTTTTTATTATTATTATTTTTATGTTATCAAATATTTACTTACTCTAATGAACAAATGCTCGTGAATAAATAAAAAAATAAGTAAATTAATAAAAAAAATTAAAAATAAATTTATATTTTGTGAAATTAGAAACGACAAGTAAGCCAGTACTTCTTTTAATGTTACCATTATTTTTTATATTTTTTAAATAGATAGGCATTCAAAAGACGTCTTTAAGACGTCTATTTATGTGTCCTAAAAGACGTCTTTACAACGTCTTTTTTAGGTCTTTAGGCGTTCAGTCATAACTACGACATAAAACAGACGTCTTTAAGATGTCGTGTGCTGTCTGGGACCCGACGTCTATCACTATAAACGAATTTACTGCTAATGCACCCAACAAATCCTAAACCGAAAAAGCGTAGTTTTTCAACAAAAGCCAGTACTTAATTGAATACAGCAGTGTTGCCAACCTTGAAGTAAGATTTTTCCCTCCACTTACCTTAAAAATTACCATTTTTCCCTGCCTCCCTTTTTATTCCTCAAACACCGGACCTTTGTTCTAAAAAAAAAGGTGCTCAGCTAATAAATGTAAACCAGGTCCTTCTATCTATCGCACTTCTAAAAAAAAAGTCCCTGAAACCCGTTCAGGTGGCATTTATTTTTAAAATCATACATTTTTCACAATTTATAAAAAATTTCCCTTTTGTGTTAAAAATTCCCGCAAAACGAGAATTTTCCCTCCGGTTTGCAACACTGGCATACAGGGCCACTAGTTACATTGGCTTGATAAAATGGCAAATTAGATATTTAAGAAATTGGTCAATCTTGTAAAAATAAAAGTCTTATAATAAATCATATTTTATTTTAAAACTATACATGTTTAAAAAATCCAATTACGTAAGTACCTAATAATAAATAAAAAAAGGAATTTTCTAGTAGAGTTCTTACAGGCTAAAAATAAGTTACAATTTACAGATATTAAACATTAGGATATCACAACTTGTGAAAAATACAAACTAAGCATATTTTTTTAATTAAATATCTAAATAAAGTTTAAAAATACTTTGGCTTATTAGATAATCTTCGATTTTTAGTTAAAAGAAAAGGGAAATTTTTTAATCTAATGACAATTGACAATCTCATTCGCCTTTATTAAGATATTATTGTGTAAGTAAGAAGTAAAAGCTATCAGAATTATTTTTTCGTATAAAAATAAAGATTAAATAAATTTTAAAAAACAAAAATTAGTGATTTTGTGTAAGTTTAAAAAAAATTATGCCAATCTTGAGTATCAGTATCTTGTTTAGTTAACTTATTAGCAGCATATATTTTTTTTTTATTAAAAGTAAAATAATTATTTAAATGAAAGAATCTGACAGCTTTAATTTCAGTCAAAATGTTTGACTTTCCTTCTCTGAATTTGATAAAAATCTAATACTATTGTTTTCCTAACAATCTGTAGGTGCATCAGTCGGTATGGGAGGAACAAACAAAATATGTGATCTGGACTTTATAAAATACACCAAGAGAAATGAAAATATCATGGAAATACAACCAATTGCCATGGTCATTTTGCCTTGATTTGCTGACGGTTTCAAGAAAAGTCTAACATTTAGTTCTTTCCACGTAGATTCTGTCCAAGAGCTGTATTGTCCAGAAGACCAGTCATAATCTAAAAATAATATATATTTAGTCTTAAATCTTACAATTCTTATTGGTTTTTCTAATTTCTTTAAATCGTTGAAAGCGTGGATATGTCGAGTACATTATTTATTTAACTTAAATTAAATTTCGCATTTAAAGAATTATTTATGACAGCCCGATTCAGCAACATCTAGCAATAATTAATGACAGTACAACTTCAGTAATCCGGACACATATCGTTCCGGTCAATACCATCGTTCTGGTCAATGCCGGATTATCAAGGTATCAGGATTATTGCGACTATTTTTTGATTAAAATTCGCAAAATTGCATACATCAATATGTACCTTTATTTCGTAAAAGTGCTTACATAAAAAAAGTCAAAACTTAAAAAAATCATTCCAAAAACTACAATATATGTACTTACGTAGGTACATATAACCTAAACTATGTAATTTAATGTACCTAATTTTTATGTTAAATAGGTGTCTAACTTGGTTTGAATACTCCCGTTTTCGGCTAGTTCAAACGCTTTTTCCTTTAGTCTTTTGAATATGTCTTGAATTGGAATAGTATATTACACACCGAGGTGGGAAGAGTTTCATTCCTGTCGTGAGATTAATTAGATCACCGAGACGCGAAGCGTCGAGGTTAGCTATGATCTCGAGACAGGAATGAAACTTCCTACCGAGGTTTGTATACTATTTTATTTACAACCATCATATTTCGATCAAAGTTATTAAATCTCTGTTTTGTTCTGAACATACCTAAAATATTACATTTAACGACAAATTACCAAGCGCGCGGTTTTCTCAGAATAATCAAATAGGTAAATATATTGTTACTGTGATTACGGGGTAAACAACTGTCACCAATAAAAATAAATGTCAGATAAAGCCGGATATTAAATTCGCGAATAATAAATATCAATAAGTAATTTGTTATATTTTAGTTCATTGTTGTTTTTTATTGTTTGCCATTAAATAGGTATTATAAAATTTGTCAAAGAAATGTGTTATTTTTTTTTAATATAAAAAATATACATCTAGAATAGATAAAATGAGGGCGGGAAGTAGAGGTGTGTAATGTTACACTTCTCAACCTTTAATAACGTTAGTAATGACATTACATATATGGTTGTAAATAAAATCATTTTCCTCTGCTTATTAAATGGATAATGACCCCGCAGAGTTACCATGTTGTACTCTCTGCACAATTCCTCCTTCAATGTCTGATTCGCTAAATTCTTTCTGTTGGTCTTTATTAACTATTGCCTCGTTTATTATCTTCTTCTATTTGATCTACAATAGTGTCTTTTTCTCCAGTCGCCCTTTGATAAAATATTATTGCTATTTAAGCCATTTTTTTGGATTTACGATATTCAGCTAATCTGTAATGGTCTTAAGGTCCGACTCATTTACAATGAGAAAGTGGAAGATTGTCTTTATCAGATTTCGGATCCTCTAACTCCTCTGTACCGCAAATGGACTCAGTCCATAATGCTCCACAGTTCTTTTAAATATTTTTTTGGAGAAATTGATTTCCAAGTTATCTACTACATGTTTTAAGTTGTATTCTTTCAACATCTTTACTATATTATCTCCTTCATTTGTACATATGACTTGATTTAGCAAGCGCTTTCTGTATCCCACCTTTATATTTTGATATATTGGCTGTAGCACTGCTGTGCAGTTAGGGGGCAAGAACATAACTCTAAAATCTGTATTAATATTTATTTCTTCTTCTGCAAGATGAGACGTGCATTATCGACTATCAAAAAAGCTTTTTTTGGGCCTGTTAACACCAGCTAAAAAATTTTTGACACTAGGTAAAAACATGTTTTAAATCACTCTATAAATACAAGTCTTGTCATCCATCCTTTGCTGGTTGCTTTGTACATAACGGGTAGCCCAGCATTTTTAAAAACTGAGTTTTCGATTTGTCGAGAACCAGAAGTAGTAATTTATGTGGGCCTTGGAGATGTTTCTGCCTGGAGCTGATTTTCATTGACTATGAACCCGTGTTCTATCGGGCAGCGCTGTCCAAAATGCCGGAGATTCGTCAGCATTATACACCTGTTCCTTTGTTAAGCCCATGTCCTGCACCACAGCACAAAACTTTTCTTAAAATGAACTAATGGCGTTCACATCGCTCAAGAGTTTCTCACCACAAACCTTTAAAAATCGAATACCGTGTCGTTTCTTGAATGTATCAAGCCAACTAGAGCTCGTCAGTAATTCATCTTTTTGGGTTATGCATTCATAAAAATGCTTGGCTTTTGTTCTTAAAAGATCTGAAGAAACAGGTACGTGGGCAAGCCGCTGTTGTAAAAACCAATTTTAAAAAGCAGCCTCAACTTCAGGATTCTCGGCTTTTCTGATCACCTAACATTCAGATTAACTATGCATTTTTGTAATGACAAAAAGTTACTGAGCACATACCAGTCCATTGATATGATTTTGGCCCAGTTTCTTATTTTGTCCTTATTTTTCTTTATATCAAAAAACGTGGATCTAGGCACTCCAAAATTACGAAACGTTTTAACGTCCGGTTTAGATGTCAAGTTTATAGAGCAATCCGGATTACTGGAGTGTATGTTTTTAACGAGTGTTCGAACTACTGAACTATAATTAGATACAAAAGAATAAAAAAAACTAAATCAATGAAATAAAATTTTTTATATAGATTTAATATACTACTAACGTTATATTATAGTAGGATAATCTTTTGGACACATGTTTGATTGCGATGGAGACCACATATAGATGGCACAACTCCCCTGGTCTTCAAGTGTGTACAATGTGTACTGTAATTTTCTCGTCTTCCTGACAGAATCGATATACCGATTTTTTAGGCAATCTACCGATTTTTAAAATTATCTTTGTCACAAAAATAAAGAGTATATTTTACGTTTTAGCTTTGAAATACTATAAAAAAATTGTAAAGTTAGATGTTAAACAAGCTATATATATATAGACTTTCCCGACCGAGGACTTTGTTTTTTTTAGAAGACAAAATAATTGAATGACCTTTTTTTTTAGAATACGAATAATTGAAGTACGTTTACTTTTTAGTATGAAAAACTTAATTTTCTGCAAATTTGATTTTTGAAATCTACCGTTTTTTGCTGAGATCTACCAATTTTTCTCGATAATTCTACCGATTTTCGGTTGATAGGACCTGGCAACACTGCGTATTATACATGAAAAGTTTAGTTTAACAAACTAGTTGAACGAGAGCTATGGTACTTAATATTTAATAAATAGAAAGTAAACGATTTTATACTAATATTAAAATTAATATACGAGGTCTGTCCATTAAATATGCGAACTGCATTGCTCGTATGAAATTCGCATGTGAGTACTGGCTACTTTGTTGCCGGGTAAGCCACTGAAGCGTCAGTAATCACCAAACCGTTGAGGCAGGCGTACCATTCCAACTGGGCATTTTATTGTGGCATGTGTTTTACACTCTTGTAGACGATGGAGGTTGACGAACACATGGAACAACGAGTCAACATTAAATTTCTAGTGAATCTTGGGAAAAATTATACATTTTTTTGAAAATCAAGTAGTTCTTGTGACAAAATCTTCTTTAGATGGACTGACTTGCGATATATTTCGAAATACATCTAACACAACCTTTGACTCTTCCTTTCAAAAAGGCGTGTGTTGGAAAAATACCTATTAACAAAGAGAAAAAGAATGATCTTGTCAAACTAAAGCAGTATCTTCCGGAATGAGACGTACTTGAATTTTATAAAGATAACTTATAACTGGCTGACTGTTGATAAAGATAAGGTTTTAGATGAAATTTTAAATTAAATGAAAATATTATTGAATAAACATATTATTTCATTAAAATATGTAGTTTTCTTGTCTAAGTAAGTTAAAATAATATCCGTGTATTTGAGAAACCCTATAAGTCATGATTTTGGAAAAAAATATTTTGGCCTCTTTAGAAAAAAAGGACAAGTTGTTTTGATACCATCAAATAGTAAACCAATCTCGCAATTTTAGAAAAAAAAAACCATGCTTTGTCTCACACACAGACCATTTAAGAAATGTTTTTTTTTAATTTCCCAAACTTTTACTTTTCTGACTTATGGTGTTTCTCATGACGGATTCATTTATGGTATTGTCTACCATAAATTTCTTCCTCAAGAACAAACAATGAATGCTGCCTTCTACGTGGAGGTTCTCAAACGCTTAAGGAATCGTGTGCGTCGAGTGCGACCAAATGTGTGTGATGATGATGGATGGCTACTGCATCATGACAATGCGCCTTCACATTCAGACCTGATTGTTCGTCAATTTCTGAGTCATAATGCGATCACCGTGATTGATTACCCTCCCTATTCACCAGATTTAGCCTCCTGCGACTTTTTTTGTTCCCGAAATGTAAAAATGTCATGCGGGGGCGCCACTGGAACGACTTGGAGATGGTAAAACGTGAAAGCAGCTGAAGAGCCTGAAGACTTCCAGAAATGTTTTGACAAAATAGAAACGGAGGCGGGACAAGGGCATTGCTACAAATGGGGAGTATTTTGAAGGGGATAAAATTGATCTACCCTAAATTTTGTAAAATAATTTTTTTTTTAAATCGGCGTATTTATAGGACAGACCTAACCTAACCTAATTATCACCTTCATCCAAATTGTAATTATGCAGTTTTGCCAATTGAAATAAATTTTCATTATTATGTTTCATTTTTTTATAAGTTTATTATGAATTAGTTATTTTTAAATAAATAAAATCAAGTGTTTAACTTTACTACCTGGTAGGGCGGCAATTACAATTACATAGTAGATGACTTGTGAGGTTGTCTCAAACACTTTTTACTGTAGCATTATCCTACTATAATATCTTCATTCAACGCTACTAGATTCAGATATAAGATATAACTCGATAAGGTTATCCAATCGACACCTTGCACTTTCACTCCCTGACAATATAAATGCAAAAAAAATCGTGTATACATTACCTTTTATGGAAAATGCCGGACTTACAGCTTCAGTGGCATTCATTGTTACTTGGTAGCACATAGTCACGTTCAAATCATATATACTTTTGGACATATTGTAATATTTGAAAGCCTAAAAGTAATTTGAAATTATTAATTAAATGCATGAAACGGTATAATACTAAAATAAAAGTAATTTCATAAACAGTTTGCAACTAGTTATAAGAAAGACATAAAATAAAAGAGAGGAATAGAACCTAAAAACTAAAAATATTCAATACATAATTATGTAAACTTATGTATAAGATAAGTAACAGAATCACTAACTGATATTTCTGTAGTAAATAATGGAGTAAGGCAAGGAGAACCGCTTTCCACTGTACTATTGAATAATGTGCTAGAAAACATAATAAAGAGCCACATACAAACAGAAGAGAACATTTTTGTAAAGCGGTCAATGCCTTGCATATGCAGATGTAGTGATATTGAAGGAGACAGCGAAATAATTAATTCAAGTAAAGAAATGCTTTCAAAGGAAAACAATGAAGGTGGTCTAAAAATCAACAACGATAAAACAAAGTAGGGAACCTTATAAATAGATAAAACAAAAATAGTTACTGAATGTAACAAGAAAACTTAAAAGCTAGAAATAGAGAGAGTGGAAAACTTCAATTATCTTGCCTACCTATGTGTAGTAATGTGGGCTGGGTAAATACCCAGCAAGAAGAGTATTTATAAATTGGGTATTTACCCAATGCCATTATAAATACCCAAAACCAGGGTATTTATAGTTTGCACTATAAAAACAAAAAGTACTAGGTTTGCCAGACTTTATGTCGTTCGATAGTACTAGAAAAAGTACAATTGTACTAGATCTAACCTCACTGTCTACTATCTAACTTTTAGTAGGAATTTTATTCTGTGACATTTACCTTGTGTTATTTATCTTTTAACAGAATAATGTTTAAGAAAAACATTCAAATGTTAATAAAGTGACGAAACTTATAAAGAAGAGCTTTAAATGTCCTGAAGAAATGAAGAAAATTCTTTATTCAGTGCCAACTACTGTATCTACTAAAGTAGACCTATCAATGTCCACGTCCACCCCAAAGAAAAAACTAAATGTCCCCAACAGGGCCAACAGCTAAAGGAGTTAGAAGTAGATGTGTCTTTTGAACTAGAAGCAAATCCAGCAGGGTGTTACGTGAAATTAATTTCAAATTTATTTTTAACAACTTCTCCATAACCCCTCATAACACAACTTAAACGACCACCGCTCGCTTCCTCGAAATTTAAAAAGAATGGTTTGCGCACGGAAACTAGTGTTTCTTTGGGCAATCACGTCGTCATAAAACCGACTCGTCTTTTAGTGTATCGAGTTCAATGTGATAGCTTGTGCCGATAAATTAGCTGCTAATAGTTTTCCATAATTATCTTGTCTTTTATGTGTTTATTGTGTGTTAACGTTGGGATAATTGTCAGGTAATGTTTCTTTCACCTTATATTTTAACATTTTGCTGGATTTCGTTGGAAAACCGAAAAAGATCGGCCATTTGCTTTTTTTTATCATCATGCCGGTTATTTATGTTTTGTTTTATTTTATATAGATTACAGCTACCCTAACTAATATTTTTAAGCTTTCTTTGATATATACGAGGGGAGGCAACTAAATAATTGAATTACAAGTCAGCCTAACGCTACAAATAAAAAATAGTAGGCTTAGTCAGTCTAGTCTTAGGGTAGAAACATTTGATATTAGCGTTTTCGATGTATGAAGATAGTCATTAAGTATACAAATTATACAATACGAACGTTATAAAAAGCATTGTTCTGGTTGCTAGGGAGTTATCAATCCTTTATAACGTATACCTAATAATGTCAATAGCATATAAGGAAAAGCCTCATTCCCCGATTCAATTGTATACTTTCCTTTCACCCAAACATTATTAGTACTTCTTGAGCGCAATAGGTAGCGCTGCACCTGCGCGTTATTTATATGTATCTGTCGAAAAAAAAAAGGTATTTGTTGATAAATAATACCTATTACGCCATCAATTAATTGTTGATTGACGATTGACCTCGTCTAATGGAGGAAAGCTGAGAGGCTATTCCCTTATGCGCCTTTGCTAATATCACTAATATCAAATGTTATAATCCCAAAACTAACTAAATGCATTCATTAATGATTAAACGTGTTTTATAATTAGCATGTATTATAGCTACTCAATTTTATCTGTTTTAGGTTAGATAAAAGAGTATTGGAAGATCACACAAAGAAAGTTTTAAAATATTTTTAATTTTAGTCAGTGATAAAACTGGAATACTACTCCTACTTAATTTTTGCCAAGTAATAAAAAAATGAACATGTTACAGAAGCTCATGAAAAGGAAATTTTACCAAAAGAGGCAAGGAAGTTTTACTTCTATTTCAATTAAACATAATGTCTATATTATGCCACTGTTTTACAGATTTTTAAGCAATTTAGATAGTGGACTTGAAATGATCTCCCAAAAGAAATTATTGAAAATTAATCAAAAGAATTCATATTTATGTTTAAGTAACTTGATTGAATGTCATGTACTCTTCGTTTCATAAACTGCGTTTGAATATGCACATCTGGAGCATTATTATTTGTTTATTTACATGTACTACATCTGCATTTGCTTATTCGAGATGTAGCTCTCTAGATTATATTTTCTTTAATTTTGAGAATTGTTAAACATGACATTTTTTGTTGTTGGATTCGTTCCATTCAAGTTTCAGTTACAGGTTTATCGATTTATCCTTTGTTTATCTAGCCATATGCTCATGAGTGATTATTTGTTTAATTTTTGTTTAGTTTTCAAATTTAGATTTTTTTCTATATTATATCGGTATTTCTTTCTGTGTTAAAGAAAAAAGAATATAAGTACTGATACTGGAACAGTTTTCCGGTGTCCCGATTGTTTTTAAATAGGTAGTTTTCTTAGAATTAAATATCAATAAATGGTATTTAGTTGTAATAATTTGTACGCCTGATACTCTTATTGAAATATCTACTTGTAATAGGTATGCTGTTTAGCTAAGTTTTTGGAAACTAATTCGGTGAAAAATGGGAAAAGAAATAACCAAAGAGTACTAAATGCAGAAGCTCAAATTGAGGTTTTGGGAACATTTGTTGCAATGTGCCAACTAGCTCCATACAAACAGTAGCAGAACAGACGGAAATATCACGCGAGACTATAAGAAGAGCACTGAAAAAGCATAAATTTAATTCCTATAAAATGCAGATACTTCAAGAGCTCTACGAAGATGATTTTGATAGAATAGAGTTTTATGAAACCATGTCTGATCAAGTTAACGCCAACCCTAATCTTCTGCTGAATATCTATTTGAGCGATGAATCTTCATTTTTTTCTTAATGACAATGTTAATAAACAAAATTTTCGGTGTTGGAGTGACGAACGCCCGCATATTGCATATTATTCAAGAAGGGCATACGCAGCGTCCGCCAAAAAGTAAATGTTTGGTGTGGTATTCTTGGAAATGCAATTATTGGTTCTTTACTTATTGAAGGAAACTTGACGAGTGATCTACACCTCATTTTTTCTTCTCGTCCGACAGAGATTTCCAGACCCTTGGATTAGCAGAAGGGGAGCAGTCGAATGGCCCCTAAGATCACCTGATTTAACTCCCTTTTCTTTGGGGACACCTTAAATCCGTTGTTTATGAAACATAGCCTGCTGATATTGATGACCTTAAAAGCCGAATTACAGCAGCATGTCAGTTAATTTCCAGTGAAATTTTCCGAAATGTTAGAGAGGAGTTGAGAAACAAACTTTTTTACTGTTTACAGTACAATGGAGAACATTTTGAAGTTTTTAAAATAGTGTAGATCCTATATGCGTTTTATTTTTAAATTTTTTTATGCAAATTAAAAGTTATTTATTTTGTAAAAGTCATGTGACCAAAAAAATAAAAAACTAGCGTGTAGACTTGATATTCCTCCTGTTATTCAACTCAATAGAATAATTTTTGTTTAAATAATAAACTGAAAACCAAGAATCTCAGTACAGGCACGTTCCAACTTCTGTAACTTTGAAACGCAATTTTTCGTACCTACTGGTTAGAAAATAATAAATTAGGTTACTATTGGAAAGAGAATTAAACGCCCTTTAAAATGATGTGCCTCTTGACCTCCTTTCCCATTAAAGATTTTATGGGTAACAACTACCCCTCCTAGGAGATTGAGCCACGAGTATTAAAAGTATGTAGTGTAGGTATCCTTCTTGAAAATAAAATTGACGGTCTTTTGCGATTTTTTACATTTACTGGAAGGAAGATATTTAGTTTAGTAAGTTTTCAGTGTCACCCTGTATGTATATCACTTGCTACATAAGCACTTTCATGCCTATGGTGTATTCAACTAACCTTATGAAATTTAGTTAGTTATTAATATAAAACTAATTTTGTAACCTGTCTCATGTCATAGTAAGATGATCTAAAGAGAATAATATATATGTATAACTCGCCCCGGAACGCCAACTTAAGTAATAAGCCGTCCCTCACTAACTATACTTAAATTATCTCAACTAATACACAAGCTGGTTTAATTATTTATTTCTCTTTAAAAAAGTATTAGTAATTTGCATTTAATTATATGTATATTTTTATTGAATTAATAAAAAACTGAGTACAATCCTTGAATCACTCAACTGCACAGACGCTCCACTACCTAGATTGGTTCTCCTTGTGTAAATGTTTTCTGAAATGACAGTTCCTATTTCCCTCAATCCATATCTATGGGGTTTGGCATATAGAAGAGAAAATAATGCATTACATTGACCTATACAAATATGCAGATATACTCGTAGTAAAAGTCATCAAGGCCCAAAGAATACGCTGGATGGGACATTGTATACTTCGAATGCAAGATGATAACATTGCAAAAGCGGTCTTAAACCACTAAATCCAGACCGAGAGTAAGATGGATACAAGTAGAATACATGCAGATTTTAGGACTTAGCTGGTGAAGAGAATCTGTCACGATACAAATAATGGAGAAAAATTGTAAATTTAACCTTGCACTTTCTGTGTATATAAACTTATGTTAACTTACATAACTTCTAAATTTATTTGTACAATTAATATTGCCTTGTCCAACTGTTTTTCCAGTAAACCAACCCAAAGTCAAACTAGTTAAAATCCTTGCATTATGTTCTTGTCCTTTGACGCCAACATATAAAGCTAACGGAATTTTTGGTAGGTTCTGTAACAAAAGCATAGGATTTTTTTTTAATAAATCAAATAAAAATAAAACTAGTAAGTACTCACTAAATCCTTATGGACCGCCTGATGAACTTTGCAATTAGGATCTTCCAAATAACAATAAAGCAATTCATTTACCAAAATTAAATCAACTTTACTGTCTCCAGTATACCCATGACCAGTAATTTCCTGGTAAATACTTCTACCAATGATTTCAGTGATATTTTTTATAAAATACTGTATACTATCCTTCGGAATTACTGAAATTTCTTCTGTAGTAAGGTTATAATATTTAAAATGGATGTTGCTAGAGTTATCATACACGGAATTATAGAAATGATTAGAGTAGAACGTTTTATGATCTGATATGACCAGACCAGGAAAACTGGAACTATTTTTCAAAAATGTATGCAGTGAAGCAGGTGGTAGACTGTTAGGGACAGCTTCAAATGGTACTGGCGAACTGGTGTTAGTTAGTTTATTCACAAAATTATTGACCTGAAATTAACCATAATTAAATATGTTTTGTAGTACTTTTCTCCATATAAAAACACACATTCAAGATCAACGGTGTATATCTATAGAAAAATTTACAATTTTATAACTCTCAATTCAGGAGGGTATTCCATCAATGTAGGAATAAAAATACAAAGTATAACTTACCACTTTTCCATCATTTAAATAATGGACATAAAGCTTTTGATTAATATTTCCCAATTGAGAAATTTCCACAAAGAGATCTATATCTTCAGGGCCAATGGCAGGTAATATATCGGTATCATTTGCATTGGGTATTGGAAAATTACCATTTAACATATCATAGAGCATTCTTTGGGAGCCAATGTAATCATAAGTTTCACCATTAAACAAAAAGAAAAGTACATTTTTCTTTCCTGCAAATTTAAACACAAATATTAGAATCAGGTTTGTTTTTATGGAACGCTAATAATTACAAACCACAAAATCATTGAACTCATCATACCTGCTTTAACATCTTCTAATCTTACAGTGTCATTCAAATATTTTGCAAGGCTAAGCAATGTTACAATTCCGGTGATAGGACTACTAGCTCCACTAGTTTTCTCAAATAATGACGTTGTATCTAATCTAGCAGCAATAACGATATATTTATAATCCTTTATAGGTTTAGTTTCATTTTTCTTCGGACCTTCTGCCAAAGGATGTAAACTCGCCCATACATTGCTGTCTCCCAATGGATCACAAAATTTTTGTGGGTTTAAGTTTGATACAATGCTGGATCGCCTGAAATCAATTTCATAACTATTTAGAATTGCCTTTAAAGCATTATGGAGAAAGTTTATAGTCTCTTAGCTAAAAAGTAAATTAAAATAAAAACTATTCTTTTGGAAAGCTACAAACCTTATGCAAGTTGGTGAATTAGTTGTGGCATACATAAATGAATTAAGTTCCAAAGAACATAATGATCTATCTGCATGTTCTTGATAAGAGTAATTATTAAATTTGACAAAACATTCTCTAATTAGTCCGACATCTTCCGTCCTTTCAACATAAAATATTGGAAAAGGAATATCAAAATAAAGTAGTCCGGTACCCCAAGGATTCCATACAGATTCTTTTTTACAAGTACCATCAATGCTAGAATAAGGATTTGGGCACTGGTTCTCATGAGTAAAATTCTTTATTACATCTACTGGTTCATTATTGGTATGAAGAATTAGTCCAGATATTTTATTACTATCTATCATTAAATGTAGAGCAGCATGATTAAATAATTTGAATGGTAATATTGGAATGTATGGATACCCAGTTCCTTGAACAATTATATCTTCTAAGTCCTTTTCAGTCTCACAGAAGTGGATGACTCCTGTAGAGCCACCCCTTTTTGCTACAATATAAAAATTTCAGGATCCATGAATAAAAAATAACAATTATAATAAAATGTTTTAATAAAATCAAAATAAAAAATTTTCTGTTAACGAGGTTGGATTCAAAATCTTATATTCGCGCTTCGTCACGCTTCATTAAAATTAATATTTTTCTTAATTTTAATTATTTAAATAACATCCTCTACATAAAACTCTGTTTAATTATGACGACAATTTATTTCAAATTGCAATCATGTGCAAGGTTGGTTATTTAATAATTATTAAACATTAATTTCATAACAATAAACTATGGGGAAGTTATAAAGGTAATGTCGAGGAGGCGCTCAATGCTTTTTCCATAGGGAAAGATCCTCCCCATAATATTTATAAAAAAGGTTACAGATACAGCGAAATATCAAAAATACAGGACAACAGGAACATGTGGATAACGGGAGTTGAGATATCTATACACAAAAAAAAAATAGTACCTGTATTGACTATATTAAGAGTTCTATATTGTATTGTAGGTCAAGACTTTCTGTTTTTTGTTGGTATATGTTTAAATATTCTATGTATTTTGTTCCTTGCTAACTACACACTAATAAATAAAGATTATTATTATTATTATTATTATTTTCTAAGCAGGGTTGTCACAAAATAAATTTCATGCCTTCTTTAAGTTCTCATTGAATGACATAAATAAGCATAAATTATGTACTCTAGCAGCTTTAATTAAGCGTCATTTGAATCTAACATATGTGATACTTAATATAAAAAATGTATTGTAAGTACATTTCTCATTTGACAAGTCAAAAGTCAACTTTGCATAATGAAACAACTTTTTCGTCCAAAACTGCTCGAATGGAAACGAGTTACTACGAATGGCCTTTAAATTGGCATGGCTATCTATCTTTCTTTATTTTGATGTTTTTTGTCAACTTTCGCATCTGGGTGTGCAATCTGTGGCAGTACCAAAAATGAAAACTGCTTATTACGATTATGTAGGTAATGAATACAAAAATTCTGAATCCCATTTTAAAAATTTTGAGCAGAACAGATATTCCAAATGTTAATGCACTTTATAAGATCTTCGAGGAAACAAGGATATATATTTATATCATTGGATCTAAAAAAGGCATGTTACTTAGAATCTTGGAAAATATTGGAGTTTGAGGCAAGTCACTTGAATGGTTTAAAGACTACTTTTGAAGGCCGTATTCAATATGTACATTCAAATGGTGTGGATAGTAGTATGTCAGATATTGTATGTGGAGTACTCTGGGACCAACTCTGTTCCTAATTTATATCAACTCCATTTCTAAACTACCACTAAAAGGTAAGATTGGGCTGTTTGCAGATGATACTGGTTTGACATTCTTTAGCAAAAATAAGAAACAGATATTGAACACGATCTGATCCTTATTAAGGATTGGCTTAGTTATCACAAACTATCTCTAAACATAAATAAATCAAACTTTATGGTCATTTCTAATGATAGGGAATGACAACAAATTGAATTATCTATTGGTAATGAACTTTTAAATAAAACTGACTGTATAAAATATCTTGGCCTATTAATAGATGAAAAATTGTCTTGGGAACAACACATTAACTACATTTAAAAAAAGATAGCACCAGTCATTGGCATTCTTGGAAGAATCTCATATATATCTGCGCACTACAAGAAAATGATTTACTTGTCAACTGCCACCTGACATACTTGACACTAATTTGGAGATGTACGTACAAAATAAAAATGCAACCATTTCTTCTGCTGGAAAACAAGGCAATAAAGAAAATCTTCAACCTGCCTCAATTACATCCAACATCAAATCTATATCTGCTTAACAAGATAATAAATATTGATTCAATATATATACCAAGTATGCACATATATAAACAGATGTCTGCACAACGAAATGAACTCAAATATTCACCTTGTTACCAACAATGAAATCCATACCTATGATCTACGTACCAGGAATGATCTGAGAGCAGTATCAATAAAAACATCAATGGGGCAGAGAAGCTTAACAAGTAATGGTATCAATATATATAACAAGATTCCAGAAAGAACTCTAGGTCTACAAACAACTCCCTTTGTGACACAATTAAAGAAATTAATATCTGCAGGTTTCTTCAAGGTTAATTAATTAATAAATGTTTAAAGTTAAATTCTTAATAACTTAGTTCTTTTAGATATCTTGTAATTCTTCTTCCTACATGTTAATATTCTATTTTTGTTGATTTCTATATTTCTAAATAATTTATGTTGGCCTGGAGAGCTCATATAGCATAAGCTCGAGTTCAATTACAGGTACACTGTGATTATTAATATTGTGATGTTTCTCATTTGCATTTGTATTTTCTTACTTGGAATAAAAAAATAAATAAACTTGTCTACCTACTTATTAACTCCTTAAAAAATGATTTTGATTAAATAAAACACCTTGAAACTATGATTAAAAGTACACCACCTGTAACTTTTAAAAACTATGAAAGAGCATTAAGTTATACTTAGTTGCAGAATGCAAACTATTTCTAAGATATTTTTCAAGATTTTTCTGCAGAGTATTCCCAAGACTACAAAATTGGATGTCTTAATTATCCCAAAACTACATCAGATCTGAAGTTCGAAGATGATTCAATGTCAGACGAAGATTCAGATATGCCCTTGTCAAAATAAATTCTTTCTTTACCTAAGAAAAAACTAAGTATATCTAAAGTTCATAGTGATAAACAAGAAGCAGGTTATTCCAGTGGCAAAGGGCCATTACATTTTGTAATAAAAGCAAGAACATATATGTTGGTATCAGTACAAAGCTCAAAAAAAGCAATATTGAATTCTGATATGTAGCTGTTTGTCAAAATCCTTTTGAAGATGATGATATAAAAATTGCCTTATTGAAATTGTGCGACCCTGCTTGTCGAGATTTATTTAAGCTTAATGAAGATGACACAAGCTATATAAAAGAACAAATTATTGATATTATACTTAAAAAGTTGACGTTTTTTAATTTTCCTAAGAGTAGAGGTAGTTATTTTTTTTTAATTTGTTTTTTATAGTTATTGGCGGATCTAGAAATGCACATATTCACACCACTCTGCACTGACGTCTAAAATTTGACACAAATTTTAATGTTGTAATTATCACTATTGAAAGGTATTATTGACATTAAAAATAGTTATTTCAATATGCTTATTTCCTAGTTTCAAATATTTAAATATAACCTGGCAACTATATGTAAGGAGTCAAACTGTCAGAACTAGCCGGAACAGGAATGGTGTGGGCAAGGGCATTTCCAGACCCTTCAACTACAAGATTACTGATAAGCCATTCTCCTCTTTCTAATAGTACTAATTTTAATTTTGTTTCTTTTTGCTATAGATCAAATTCACCTTTAAATTACTCAATGTTTTTAGAATCACCCTTCTATGCTATTTTCGTATAGAAATATGAACATACAACCAGATAATTTGAGAAATGTAAGATCAAGGTACTCCATTATTTATGAATCATTGCAGAAATCAGGGATCAAAGACAATGTAGCTATCTTTAAATACTTACAGGAACATCCTATTTGATGAGTACCATTAAGTCTTCTAAAACAAGCATTACTGCTTGATATTTCTTCGTACATTTTGTCTTTGGTTCGGTCTCCATAGCCTACAAAAATTAAACATAAGTAATTATGAATAATCAAATATTGTCCAAAAACTGAACAAAATAAATTTTCATAAAAAATAATTCAAACGAATAAGGGGTTTTAAATAATACTTACTATTTATAGGAAATTGTAATAAAAATAATATGTTAAAAACTAATATATTTTGTTTTATTGTATTCATGATTCAGAAATATTTACATTTCCCTTGTCCCTTGGCTGTCAGCTGTCAGCATGGATGTGATAGATGTCAAAGTCTAAAACAATGTTGCCAGCTTAGATATACCAGCCCAGGTTGCCAGATGAAATTTTTCTGAAACCTTATGCCACCTTTACATGCAGTGACGCAGCCTCTTTCGCTACTTACTCTTCACAGAACAATTACTCTTCGAGCATATATATTTCACTACTACTGGCGTTGCTCGCTTTCCTGCCCTGAATAATTCCACGGCAGCCTTCGGAGCATGTATAATTTAAAAAATATACAATATTTCAACGGAATTACTTTATGTTTAGCATCTTATCAATATATAGCAAAGTTTAATTTCTTAATAATTAATGATGCATACCTGTTATTTTATTTTCGATACGATTTAACATATACATGTATAGATATCTTTCAGTCGTAGACTATCCAATGAACTCGAGTAGGGTAGAATGCCAATGTGCATGCTTATATCAATACTTAGATTATAGAAATAACAGATACATTTATTTACCTATAAACCCGGTCATATATTACAAAGAAACGTAGCGCGTAGTGATTTGGTAAAAGAACTGACATGCGTTGCTTGGTGTGTTTTACCAGGTCATGTAGTTTATCCCTTTCATATTTAAAAATAGTTTTTATTTATAACTCATATCAACAAGTTTTATTAATTGGAATAATTATGAAATATATTGCGATACATCAAGCAGTGTACTCACCAATTCATTTTCGTACCTAGAGCAGTGTTTCCCAACTCCGACGCATTGTGGGTAGAGTTGTCGCAATATTTTTCGAAACATTTCTAATAGACCGGGAGGTAACGACAGAAATTTTCGGGTCATTTTCGCAAGTTTAAATTTTTTTATATGAGTTATGCAAGTAATATGTAACTCTAATATGAACGTCTTCCGACGCACCCGTACGACAGGGGGTTGCAGGAGGGTTGCAACTACAGTAAAAAAATTATAAAAAAAAATCATTTTCGCATGCATGAAACTTTTTGTACAAGTTAATTTAAAGAAATAAAATTTAGAAAATATCGTCTTCCACCTGGATTTCACGACAAAATACGTCTTCCACCTACCTAAATAAGCAAAAAAAAAAAATGAAAAAAAAATTATATTCGCAAAGCTGAAATTAAGTGTGATGCTAATTTTTATAATAAGAAAGCTAAAAATAATAGTCTTCCATCGATACAATACAACAAAAGTCGTCTTCCAAGCTGATAAAGGTGCGCGTCACATACGGCACGTGCTAGTTATAAATTCCAAAACGGAACTTTTATTTTTAAAAATGTTATTAAGCAAAAATACACTTAAATAGATATTTAAGACAACTCTGAACTAATGCCTGCACTAAAGGTACTCGTTCGATAGTCGCTGCAGAGACATGCTGCAGCTGCAGGCGGCAGAGGCAAGAGGCAGAGACACTACTGTTCTAATGAAATCTAATGATTTACCGTTCGATGCACGCTGCAGCAGCAACTAGCTTATTAAGTGTCTCGCCCTGTCTCTGCTGCTTGGACGCGCGTCAGCGTCAAGACCGGTCTGGAGGCAGTCGTTCTGCAGCAATCGTTGTAATAAGTATTGTTGTGCTATTATCAAGCAATGGCTTCTTTGGATAAAATAGTGAAAAATACGCCATCGCAATCAAAGTCGTCAGTATTTTCAGGGGAAGAAGATGATCTACTTATAGATTTAGTTGAGCAAAACCCAACTTTATACGACCTTCAACTAGAAAGTTACAAAGATATTGTAAAGCGGGAAAATATTTGGAAAGAAATAGGAGCAATATTAAAACGAACAGGTATGTACTTTTATTTTAAATGATTTATAAAGCAAAATCATAATGCATATTATAATTATAAAGTAACTTTTGTCAATTTATCTGTCTTACAATTTAATTATGAATTATAATAAACATATAGACATGGTACATGACATACAAAGTAATTAAATTTTAAATCCTTCTACAAATATAAATCTGAAATGAGTGGTATGGAACGCTGTTCCTAGTCTTTTTTATTGAAGATATGTTGCTCTTGCCAGGACAATTTTCCGTGTTCGCTTAAAAAGTATTCTGTAAGCTGAGTTCTGACCCATAAACCCGTTCGCTTAGCGAACCCGCCAGAATGGTTTAAAGGAGCCATATTTAATTTGGGTGGATTTTCTTTCTCGTTGTACTGAAATCCGCCACTATTATTGTTTTGTAAATATTCGTTACGTAAAAGGTTATGTAAGCAGCATGCTGCCATTATCAACTCGTTGCAAGTTTCAGGTTTAATTGATATGGGTGTATAAAAGACTCTGAAAACTTGGCTTAATAAACCAAATGCATTTTCCGAAACTCTGCGAGCGCGGCAAATGCGATAGTTATATATTTCTTTTTTATTGTCGTGTTTTGCAGTTTTTCGAGGATATGGCTTCATCATGTAGGAATCAATTCCAAATGCTTCATCACCAATTAAAAAATGTGGTATATAAATATTAGTCCCTGGAAGACATTTTTCTTCAGGTATATTAAAATTGTTTGATTCTATTCGATGGCATATAGCGGATCTTCTAAATATATTACTGTCTCCTTCTTTTCCGTACGAACCAATATCAACTGCAATAAATTTGCAGTCCGCATCTACAACGGCTAAAAGCACAATTGAAAAATATTCCTTATAATTAAAATATAATGAACCACTTTTTTCTGGCGATTTAACTCGAATGTGTTTCCCATCTATTGCTCCTACACAGTTCGGTACATTCCATTTATTCCAAAATGTTGCGGAAACTCTATAAAAATCCTGTTCAGATAATGTTGGCATTGCAACTGATACAAGGTTTTTGCACAATGCTTTTAAAACTTCTCTAACGATCTTTGAAATATAACAGTCAGATATACGATATGCAAAAGATAAAGACACAAAAGTTTCTCCAGTTGCCATAAATCTAAAAAAAAAATAAAAGTTAGTTTCCATTTTAGGGGACGATTGTAAAAAAAGATGGAAGTGCATTAAAGACTCCTACAACAGATATAAACGGAAAAGACATGCAGGGACAGGAAGTGCTGCTAAATCTAAAAATTCTAAATGGGAGGTGTATGCTAGACTAAGTTTTTTAGAAACATCATCTCATAAAGACACTATGTCGAATGTACCTGCTGTTTCAGATGATGACGACAACCATGGGAATGATGAGAACGAAACCAATATTAATATAAATGATGACGATGCTGATGGTGGTGATATAGATACTGCTGACAATGAAACCCAATCGACGATTGTGAACGAATCTCAGGACGAAACACAAGTTTTACAACAAAATAAAAATACTTCGAAACAAGTCCCAACTCGAAAGCGGAAACGGCAAACCAAAGAAGATGAATTCCTACATTATCTAAAAGAAAGGGATACCCAAAGACAAACGATTTTTAAAAATTTGAGCAATAAAGAAAATAATGATAATAATGGAGATGAAAATGGCATCAATTCCTTTGGAGAACATATTAAAGCTGTACTCAAAAAGTTACCCCCAATTTTAATGATTAAAGCTAAAACAGAAATATTTAACACTATGAGTAAGTATGAACTTATGTCAATGACTCCTTCTGACGCAATCCGTCCACAAAGTTCAGTATCTGACTTCAGTTATTCAATATCTTCCCCAATAGAGGCATCAATTTCAACACCATCGACAAACGAACATACCTACACAGATATCTCAATGTGGCACATGAATTGAAATATTCACTAAATGTATAATTTTTTATGTTATTTATTTTGACTTACCTTAAAGTAATAAAGAGTTTTTCTTCAGTTGTAATTTTCGTTCTCAATTTTTTTGGCTGCATGTCTTTTTCAATTAAACTTAAAACAAAATAAAATTGAGTTTTATTCAGTCTGCAATATTTTCTAAATAAATATTCATCGCCTTGTAGGTGCTGTAAAATTAACAGTTTAAAATAGCCTTCTGTTTTTCTTTTTTTAAATAAGGAGTGTATTGGAGCTCTTTTGCTTTTCTTGTATAAATAGTACAATATTAAATCCTGATCTTCCTCTTCCTCTAATAAAATTTGTTTAATAATTTTATTCTCGGCAGACATTCTAGATGCACCTTTCTCAACAGTAAAATAAGTACTGATCTGTCATTCTGTCGCATGCTACGAACGAGTCCTCCAAGTGTCTCCTGCTCTGTCTCGGTCGCTTGCCTCTTGCCTCGGCCGCCTTGCAGCTGCAGCCTGTCGCTGCAGCAACTATCGAACGAGTACCTTAAAGCTACCTCAAATAGCAATAATAAGAATAAGATTTTACTCCTATTTATAAACTAAAAATGATTATTTAAAAAGATAATTAAATTATGACATAAAAGAGTCTATTATGTTCACAATATGCTTAAGTTTTAAAAAATATGGAGTTATTTTTCAAAACATCTTCTGAGGGATTTTCTAATTCAATTTCTTCGTTTTTTTTCTTCTATATCTTCTTAAAAGGTGTCTTCTATATTTAATTAGTATTAAAATAATTATGCAAATAAAAATTGCAAAAATTGTTCCAAAAGTCCTTGAATAATTAAATTTTTTTTTAAATTTCTTTAATTGCCCTTAATTATTTAGAAATTTGATTAATTTCATATAAATCATTAAAATCTAATTTAGTATAGGTATAAGAAAATTGATAAGATAAGTTTTGAAATTTTCTTCATGTCGAGCTTTGGTAGAATGAAAGGCTTTCTTGCTCAATTGAATGTTGTTGATATATCTTCTTTCGTTGGTCCAAATTTCACAAGATTTAGGTATTTTGATTAATACAGGTGACCCTATGTATATATACTGGTTACTGTTACATTTTGAAAGAATTTGTTTAGGTTTTGACGGGATTATTAAGACTTCATCGACTGCGATTTATTCGAATACTGATTCTTCTAAATTAACATTTAAAATATTACAATTTGTCAAAGTTTTTCTTTCAAGAAGTTGGTGAGTACTATTATCTCTGGGAATGAAATTCTGTAGACAATAATACATTTCTTCAAGGGATGGACATTCTTCTTGTTCAAACTGTATATCTTGATCTTTTCGTGCCAAATAGGGGAAAAGAGTATATATTTTTTGGTTTTGGATAATTAGGAATAGATGATAAAATTCAAAGGTATTGCTGTTAAAAATAGGAAAATGTATTGCAAAAATTAACTTAGATTCTGAAATTGATACTTGCGTTCCTAGGAACAGATAATACGTTAATAAATTTGTAAATTTCGGAATTTGATCAACATACTCGTATATTTTATGTAAATATTTTATGTTTTTTTGCAAATTTTGCAAAGATTGTGGCATTTTCTAAATTATCTATAAAATAAATTGCCATTTGACAATCTAAATCAATTTGTGATATAATAGCCTGACAACTAATATAACTTTCAAGTATATCGATTCTATTATAAATAGCTGCTTGAATTTTTTACATATCAACTTTAAATTTTTCTTGAATTATGCTTAACATTGTGATTGATTTATTATAATGATTAACAAGCCTTTGGTACAACGAAATTTGAAGATTTGTTTCACTGATAATA